TCAGCCCTGTTGTACAAAGGCCGGTAAAACCCCACCCTCATCTTGAAGAGCCTCGTTCCTTAGTAGTGAGAACCAGACAGGCTCCAGCCGAAGGTCAGTCAAGTGCTGCAAGTGCCACATGAGGCCATATCACCAGAGGCTACGAGTGTGGGCTCTGGAGCTGACTGCCTGGGTTTGAATCTAGCTCTGTCACTTTCTAGCCGTGATGTCACCTTAGGCAGTTACTTAAACCCCAGGTGCCTTGGTTTCCCCTTCGGTAAAATGTAGATTAGGGGATGGTGAGGGTTAAATAAATTAACATAAAGTTCTTAGAACAACCTCTGGCATGCAGTCAACACTGTGTAAGTGTTTGCTACTGTTACTCTGATAAAAGATCAAAAAAAATTGTTTAAGGGTTTTCCCTGAACGGATTTGAAAAAGATGTCGTCAGGAGTCAGTGGGTGGGATAGGAAGCATGGGAAGGAGGCATGAAAGGCCAAACACCATGAGCACTGAGGGAACAAGGCGTTCCTGGATGGAGTGCCGGGTATGGGGGGCAGGGCCAGGACAAGAGGCCCAGGCAGGAGAGAGAGGTCGGCTTCCGTGCCCGGAGGGAGTCACTGGGGAGTTTTAGGCAACTATAATAGAACAGCGTTGCCTTTCAGAAGGGTCAGGTCCCGTCCATAAATGTGGAGGATGGACTGGAGGAGTATAAGACGAGACATGGGGAAAATGGTAGGAGTTCTCTCTCCAGGCAGAGAATATCAGTGGCAACAGATAAGAAGAGGCATAGGAATTGAACGTTGAGGAATAAGACTCAACAGCCTGATGTAGGAAGAAAGATTTTAATGTATCTAGCTTCACTGTCTATGTAGAATGGGGCTTTCCACAGATAGGGAGTCTAAGAGAAATGGCACATCTGGGGGAAAAGACAGAAGGGTCAGTCTGGGGTGTGTAGGATCTGCGGGCTGTGCAGAGTGTTCGCCGTGTAATGCACGGAAGGCACGTGGGACTGCAGACTGAGACGGACCTGACTCAGGGAAGCGCATCTGGGATTTATCAGCATCTAGATGAAGCCCCGGAGTGGATGAGACTGCCCAGGCAGGGTCCCTGGGAGGGCACAGAGGCTGAGGACAGATCCAGGGACCCACCCCACTAAGGCAGGGATGCACCAAAGCAACCATGTAAAGGGAAAACAGAGGTACAGGAAAATAGAAATTTTGTCATTCTCTGACTCAAAGGACTTTGCTGGCTCTCCACTGCTCTCAGGATGAAGCCCAAACTTCTTAACATTCACCCTACAGCCACTTGACTTCTGCGGCTGTGGCTCCTGCCTAACTATGAGACAGGACAGGCCCATGCTGAGAGCACTGAGTTCGGTCTATGAACATGCCAACCTGGATGGCCCACAGGCATGAGAACCAGTGCCCTCTGCCTCATTCTCCATCACACCCCAAGCCAAATCTACCTCTCAGTTCGGCAAACTCCCATGTATCGTTCAGGTCTCACTGGGGTGTCTCTTTGCCTGGAAGTTTTCCTTTAGTAAAGAGAACAGCCCCTCCCTAATAAGAAAGTACCAAATATTAGTAGTTAGAAAAAGTTAAAGTCCAAATTAAATGACAAATCTTAACACTGACAGGACAAGCACTGTGACTCCTTTCAAACGCCTTGTTAAGTCTGCCTAAGACTCCTCCCCACCCCACGACTACACCGAGTACCCCACAGCCTCTTCCCCTCTCACGGGGTGTCATGAGGCTGTCCTCCCTTGCCGACGACAATAATTCTCAGAGGAGGTCTCATCTGAGCATGAAACTGTGCCTAAGAGAACAATTCCAATGTGGCAAGAAACTGGTTTGGTGGTGGCTAACCTGTTCGACAACCCCTTCTTTCCTTCCTGCAGGGCAGTGCTTGGTAAACCACATCTCATGAATTTTGAGTATATGGTCCTTTATTTCCCACATACTCTTGTCTCCCATGTATAGGACAGGTGCCCCTCTGAGGGGTTCCTGTATAACTGTGTTCATTGCACAATAGCCTGATGAAGTGCTGCCACACCTGTGTCCTTCTCCAGACCAGACCATTCGCGGGCAGAGTCCAGGACATCCTCCTCACTGCTGGACCTCAGCTCCCAGCCCCTGCTTAGTCCTAACAACTAACCAATATGGACCGTTACTGTGTACACCACTGCTCCAATCCCTACTTATTATAACAATCCTAGAAGATACGTACTAGCACTACTCCAATTAAATGACTGTGAGGCCAGGCAGAGAGGTCGAGTCATAGATTTAAGGCTGTGGAGCTACGACATGGTAGAATCAGGACTGGAACCTACAGCCTGACTTTGGAACCATTAATACATAGTGGCCACTCAGACAGTAGCCTGTTTTCCCTCTTAACTGTTACTTCTTGTGTGCTATCTCTATCTGTGAACAAAATGTATAGTTTTCCTCCAAAATTCAGCATGCGAAAGGCAGCATAGTCAAGATACCACTGTGCAGAGGCCAGGGTTCAGATTGTATTTTTTAATTCTACAAAGAAAAACAAAAGGCAAGGAGAAGTCACAAGGAATAGACAGGGTTCTGGAAGTAAGAGAGTTGAAACCCAATGGCCCCTATGTATCAGACAGCGAAGCTTCATGTAGAGAATTCAAACCCTGTCCACCACTTGTAAGCAACGGACAACCTTGTAAACCCTGGTTGCTCCCTCTGTAAATGGGAACAGTAACAGCACAGACTCAGAGGGCTGCTGTGAGTAACACCTGAGAGATAACTAACATAAAGCACTCGGTAGAGCCTGCATGTACTAACACTATGGATATTTTTATAATTTCACTTAAAATTAGGTAAGCAAACCAATTTAACTGCATTTACCTAATTTTACACAAACCAATTTAGTTTAATAAAATACCTCAAATATAATTTGATAAAATACTCAAGAGCCTACTAGAGCGATATTAAAAATGTTACCATATGTTGTCATTAACTAGGTAAATGAGTAGGACACAATTCAAAGTTCATTCGCCTATTTCTCAGGGTGTTAAGCTCCTGAAAAGACATTTCTACCACATTTAAGTATGTTGAGCAAGTACAAAGGACCAAGGTTTCATCATCTGCTGTATTAATGAGCATCTGTGGTGATTTGTTGTTAAAAACACATTAGCATATTGATCCACGTTAAATGCTGAGTATGATATTAATACAAAACCTTCTACCAGTAATAGCTCCACACTAAGGACAAGAAGCAACAACTGCTGTCATAACAAACAAGTATTCTGGACCTCTAGTAGATCTCTTCACTTTCCATATTTTTATATTAAACTGCAAATGAAGAGGACTGCCAGAGACTGTTCCCAAAATCTAATCTCCAGATAGACATAATTTATATGTCTGTCCCAGCAACATGCACAGGACAAGAGTCACATGTGGCAAAGAATCGGTAGGTTTTCGTCTCAGACAAGCTGTTTTCCAAGTTTACAAGAGAGGACTGCAGGAGGAGGGTCCCTTTATGCCCATGGTGTCCCCCACAAGCCCAAGACCAGACTGATGGTAACCTGGAAACCTTTACTGTTGGCTGGGTCAACTGTACACTAACGGCAGGGCACAACTTTATGTAGATCTAAGGGTCCCTTACAGGGAAGACTTCAATATTAGTCTATATTTAAATACAAAAATAGCTTATTGTTTTAGTAGCACCGTAAACTTCTCTGGCACACAGCTGCTTGAGCTGGGCACTATACGATCACTAGAGTGCACAAGACACACATCCTGGGACGTGCCGTCCTGGATAAGCAAGGCCTTTGTGGATTGCTGTGTATGCTTTATATTGGCCCAGGGAGGCCAATGCTCTGGTGTGAACTACCTCAGATGAGAGCCAAGTGTGACATCCATAAGAAGACACTGAGTGGTGGCCAGAGGTCCACTCTCAATCAGAGGGACCTGAGTTTCAATCCCATCTAATTCTGTGACATTTAGCAATATTTAGCCTCTCTAAGCCACACCTTCCTCATCTATAAAAAATGAGGACAATTCCATTTCTCTGACAAGGCTGCTCTCCTTTTTCCGTTTAAAAAATATCTGGTTATCATCTTCTCTCTGAAAAATGCTAGATCACATCCTCTATTTCCCTATATTTTTTTCTGTGGGGGTTCTGAAGAAAACATTTGCTCTCTCTTCTTCTAACTTCTACTTAACAATTAATTAAAAGTACTGGAGAGGAAAATCTGTTTTGTGCCCCACAGCTATGGCAAGATCAGAAACCCAGAGCTGCCCATTTAAGGTATAATTATTCTCCATAGAAGAAAGGGTTAAAAACCCAACTGCTTTAGGGCATTTGGGATACAAAGTAATAGTCCTAGGAAAATATTAGCATGCCAAGTCAATGTACTATATAAATTATTTCAAGTAAAAAGCTATAACTATGATTTTGGTGATTTATATAGGGAATTATGTATTAATTTCTTACTATGAACTCAAGAAAAAAGCTAACTTAATTATCTTTTAGTTCCAGAAAGTCTAGTAAATAATTCTATAATTTATAGTTTTCACTAATTAGTCTTAGACTGCTTGGAATTTCTCCAAATTAGCAAAGCTTTACCTAAAAGTAAGTTTCTTCTTTTTTTAAAAAAAAATTATTTAATTTATTGGGGTGACACTTGTTAATAAGATTATATGTTTCAAGTGTACAATTCTATCATCTGTATATTGTATTGTTCTTCTTAAAGTGAATTTAAGTGGAATTTTGTGGTGAAGTATATAATAAAAGATCATCCTCTTAAGGTAGTAAGGAGCAAAAGATAATTTTCCTCTGCTATGGGAAAAGCTTAATCATTAAAGGAAATAATGCCATTTCTCTCTTACTTTCGGGGACTTGCAGAATTCTCATTCCCCTGGATCAGTAGGACACAATGCTTGTACCTGTACTAAGGTTCTGAATTTCAGGGGAGGAAGAGGACAGTCCTCAAGTTAGGTTTTTGTAGGTTGGTACATTTTCCAGTGGGAAGTCCACTCACTCACCAGCTTTCCTCTCTGCTGGGCCGACCTGGTTTCTCGCAAGGTGTACACATCTCCACAGACAGAGATCTCGCGCCAGACCCCGGGCTGGGACTCTTCAGTGAAACCCCCTCTTGGATGCATGACCAGGACACCGTTTGTAGTGAGTCCATCCATGTGGCCGTCGGGGTTTTTCCATTTTGCTGCCTTTTCCTGGAGAGCAGAAAAAGCATGCTAAGATTATTTCAAAATGAAGAGATTCTAGAATCCCTTTGAAATATTGGATAGGAGCAAAGGGGAGGAAAGTGGTGAATTTTCATTTTCTATTTAAAGCCAATAATCAGAAGGATAAAATATGCAATTAGCCCAACAATATAAAAGAAGTGGTAAAACAGATGAATAATTTATCTCCAGAGACACATTATATTTATCCTGGGAGCTTAAAAAAATAACCCGTCGCCTGGGCCTCTCCCTTAGAGATTCTTTTTTAAAACCCGCTACGTGATTCCAGAATCTAGTGTGCATTCCTCAGTTCTATTTGTGCAGTGCTTTCATTCTACTATCTAAAGATGTTTTATATGAAGTCATTATCAGGAAAACACACAGAAGGAAGGAAAAACATTTTTATTAAACATACAAAAGTTTAACAAATGTTAAGCCAACAATTTGTGGCCACTAGGTTTTCATACAAATCGGTGATTATATCCTCAAAGGTGGAAGGGCACAAGCAGCTTGATATAACGGCAAGGCAGACACTTGTGGATGCCTGTGCCACAGTGATTTTGGCTACTCTCTTGGGGACAGAGCCAGATATTGTTCACATAACTCAGAGGTAAATCCCGATTAGCGTAAACCAGTTATGACAATCCCAGCCCCTTGCCAATGACTGGTTTAGGGGTAGGCATCTGGCTGAGTTCTGGCCAATGAGACCGGAGTGAGTCTTCTGGGAAGCTTCTTGGAAAGGTTTCTTTGCTTTACAAAGAGGCGAGGAATAAATAGTGCCTCTGCCGCCTCCTAGGCTGGAAGCTGCCCTGCTGCAGGGGATGTGTGGCAGTACAGGAGCCATCTCTCACCCACAGCGGACCTTGCCTGAGAGAGCCGACGTGCCCGGAGAGGCAAAGGGCAAGACAGAAAGAACCTGGGTCCCTGCATGTCACAGAACCACTGAATTAACCAATCATGCAGCTGGCCTTCCTTGGCACTCCCTGTAATATGGGATAATACATTTTTATTATTATTTAGGCCATCTGAGTGTTTTTTATTTTTCTTTGCCCTGCAAAAATGTCCTGATTCAAAGAAGAACTATATCAAAACTAGATATTCACTAAAACTTTTGGGTTTCATTTACATGGAAACCCCATGAATGTAGAGATTTTAAAACTGTTTTGTTCTCTGTGATGTCACAACTATAACAGCCAATATGGAATATAGAAAGTGAATTTTTTGAATGAATGAATTAACATTTTCCTTTGAACTCTGATTATCTAAATTTGACCATTTACTTTTCGCTCTGAAATAAACCCCCTTAAATCTACCATGAATACCTTATGCATGATGTTAATATAAACTTTAAAAAAGAAATTCCTGTACATATTATAATTAATACAGCAAATACGACAAATAACAAGTAATGACAATTATTTTCAGATTTTAAATAACAGCTTTTCAATTGGCTGTCTGAATACTGAAATCTCAAAATTTAACTGCGGGGGGCAGGCATCATGCAAAGCAACGTTTTCAGCCACAATTAAATGTTATATATGATAATAATGCATGTTTTACTTGAAACAATGTGCTTATCAATAGTACTTACTCCAAGAAATATGTTTTTGGAAGAGTCAAACCCAGCTGCGAATATCCGTGCCGTATAAGGTTCATTCCTGTCACAGACAATTCTGCAGGCAAACCTGGATATGGTGCTTTGTGTAATCTGGGCTTCGTCATTGTTCTGGCTGCCAGAAATCGTGTCTGTAACCACGAAGTCGATCGGGCTTTCGGTTGATCTGCCCACCTAAGTAAATCAAAATACTCATAACTCACTTGAAACGAGTGTTCAGGATGCCTTTTAACATTCATTATCTCTGCTCTGAAGGTCAGAATTTAAAGAAAAAAATTTTAGTTCTGCTTCTTTTCTTGTATGACTGAAGGAGATGTTGCAGTAACCAACGACCAGATTTTAAATGTTAAGAAAGAAGCTTAACTTTCTATTCTGGAGGAGGAAAACAGGTCTTACCCCCAAAAGACTATCTCTTGGATCAGGCAGAAGGATTACTTTCATGGCAAATCGTATGTGTGTGTCTGCGTGTGTGCATGGCAAATTGTGTGTGTGTGTAAGGGAAGCCAACAAAGGAACTCTTGCCACCTGCCCCCCTCCTCCTTGCCCAGCTCCAAGGACTGGGTTTGCCCACCAAGTCAATCAACCAGCGACTCACAGCACAGAGCAAGAACAGACCAAATCCAGACATACACATCAGGTCCCTGTTATACCATTCCTCAGTGTGAGAATGACGCAACAGGCTATACAAAACAGCCCCAACTTTGAAATGCAAGCAAATGAAAGATTTAAGAAGCTGGTCTTAACATTTCAATTTTGGATTTTTAAAGAACTCTCTTGGGAAAATCTAAAAAGTTGCCAATAACATTATATTGGCTTACTTTCCTTGGAAAGTTTAAAGGCTGCCAGAAAGAATGTATTTCATTAGCAAGATCTTAAGAGTTCAAGTAAAGCTTTTCATATTCAATAAATCCAAATAAGACAGGCACTGCTCTGTCCTGGGAAGTGGGAGGAGTAAGCATCTGTTTACAAAAAAGGAAATTCTCAAGGCAAATAGTAAAACATTTATGTAATGATGTGCTATGAATCTCTAACTGGAAAACAGTGATAAATGTTATATATGGCAAAGAGACTTCCTAACTTAAAATCATTTATATGTAAACGAATCATTTCTCACTAAATATATTAATGTTCTAACAATAACGTCTTTGATTCTGAGGCTGCCAGTGGGAAGAACACGGAGCCCCTAGATGTGTAAATATAAGGCCCACAAACGTCGATTTTTCAGCTATCTTTATCTTGACCTCAAAATTCTATTTAAAACAAACACTGTAATACACTTTTAATCCAAATGAATAAAGGGAAAGTATTTAATAAATCTTGCATAATTTAGTTCTATTTGTTTCCTGGAACAATATTAAATTTCTTTTGTAAATCTCACATATACATTCTCATGCATACACTATCTTGTTAAACCCGCCAACAACAGACATTTATTTTCTCTTGTTTTTTTATGAAACTTAGTTTCTTGTCTTAATGAAATGTGCCTGGAAAAAATTAAACCACTGGGTTCATTGAAACTCATCAACTTAAAGAGATGCATATTGCCTGAATGTATGCATTATAGGTTTAGAAAACATAACTTGTTTAAAAATGCAACATAAAATCTAAATTACAGATATTATAAAATCCTATCATCATACAATTCATCTTACTGAAGTTGCAGAATCTATTCTCTGCTATATTCAGTTGAAAACTGGGTGTGTGACTCAGAAGTTCCACTGATTCATATCACTCTAATTTTTTAAATCTATTGTCTTAGCTACTTTTAAGTATATAATAGAGCATTATTAACTATAATCACCACGCTATACATTAAATCCCCAGAACTTATTCATCTTACACCTGGAAATTTGTACTGTTTGACCATTATCTCCCCATTCTCCTCATATCTTCACCCCTAGTATCTGGTGACCACTATTCTGGTCAGTTTCCATGATTTTGATTTTCTTAGATTCCACAAAGAAGTGATATCATATAGTATTTGTCACTGTCTGACTTATTTCTAAACAAATACATATGTAAAATATTTCACAAACATAGAAATCATAAAGGAGAAAATAAAGGCTACTCCAAACTCAGGAACAAACCCATCCTGAATCTCTATTACAATGAAGCTTAGGAATGAAATGTGAAGTTTTAAAACTGCCTGGTCATCACACAAAACCCAGAGTTATCACGACGACAGTCTCTGATCTAATTTCTGTCACCTCCACAGAAAAGGGCAATCACTTTCAAGTTCTGTTATAAGCTCGAAGCTAAAACCACGCCCTAGTAGAATGTCACACAACTGTTCTTTGTCTACAGAGATTATTCTCTTCAAGTAAAGGCCATGATTTTACTCCAATGTATTAATGTCTTGATGAATTAACTGAAATTGACTGTAAAACATGACATTTTATTCCAACTGAAACATACTGCTAGGATCAATTATTTCAAGCCATGATACTTATCTGACTGGTCATCTAAGATTTGTTTATCAACTCACTTCCACTTACATCTGTAGAGTGCTAGAAAAATTTTATACTTTAGGACACAAATCTCATGTTGTTTTTTCCCAGGAAAAATCTGAGCCATTTTCCTACCGAAAATTCACCCAATGTGGAAAACTTAGATTCTTTTGACTATTGACGTTTTAAAGGCAGTCGTGTACACAAGCCAAGATGCTTCTGAATTTCATCTGATATTCTTATAGTGTGGGTATTCATATAGCAGCCCTAGGGAAATTTTACTCCTTACTACTGATACTTACAGACACATCATCCTTCAGCACTTTATATCTTAATATAAATGAGAGAAGTTTGGGTTTGCCTGGTTGTCAGTCAAAGTCAGCACAGGTAAGATGGTACTGAAGCACCTGAAAAGGCCTCCCTCACATTTCCCGGATCAATTCTTCCCATGTCCCTGCCTCTGCAACCTTCTTTTCTGACTTCCCTCCCATGACAAGGATGAAATATTGCTGCTTCCACCCAAGACCAATCTCTTCACTAATGCTTGGGATCCCAATATTCTCCCATTTCCAAGGACTCTGCTCCTGTTATTTGCTCCTGCCTTCTCTCTCTCCTGAATCCTCATTTTCTTTCTTGATATTGGATCAAGCCATCCAGCTATCACATTCTGGAGCTTCTTAAACTGTGACTCTGTGAGGCAAAGGACTAGTTTTGTTTGCTTTTTAAATTTCAACTTGCCACTGATACCTTTAAAAAAATAAATAAATAAAAATGACTAGTAGAAAAATGATCATCTGCTTGGATGTTTCAGGAATATGAAGCTGCTATAACAGTTTCCAAACACCTCCTCCTCTCAATTTCCTAACTCATCTCACTCTGTTCTGTTAACAGACACTTCACTGCTATGCTGCATATAGTTGAGTAGCACCGCTCCAGACTAGTCTCTTATTTTTAAAAATGCTTTTCTTTGCCTGCAAGCAACCCTCAAGCTGTAGTCCCATTTCTCTGATTCACTTAATTGCAATACTTCTTAAAAAAATCCATCATTAGTTACTACTGCCACTTCCTTACTCATCCCCTTAACTTCTCCCTCAGCCCACTCCAACTGAACTTCTCAAGTGAGCTTCTCTCCCCACGGCTCTACTGAAACCACTCTTGCTGGGATTTCCAGGGCTTAGAACCAGCCAGTATATTCTGGTCCATTTGTACCTGGTATTAAAATAATGAAACCCTTCCAGGCCAGTTGGTAAATAGCCCCCTTCCCTTCGCTTTCTGTTCTCTCCCTAGGTAATCTCATCAAATCCCATTTATTAGCCACAAAGCCCTGATCTCTCCCCCGAGCTTCAGACTAGCACACTCAATCTCCACTTGGATATCTAATAGGCATCTCAAGTGCAACATGTTCCAAACAGAACCTGGATCCCCTTCCACCCTTATATTCCCTGTGTCAATGACGGGCATCCAATTTGCTCAGGCTAAAAATCAACACCCCAGAACTATCCTTGATTCTTTACTTTCCTCTACACCCACGTTTAACTTTGTGTAAATTCTGTCAACTTCACCTCCAAAACACATCTTCGATCTTTCCAACTTCTCCCACTTCAGTTCCAGTTACTAACAGCTCTTAATTAGATTGCAACACCTTAGCCTCCAAACTAGTCTCCCAGTTTTCACACTGGCCTCCTACATTCTACTCTAGACAGTTGGAATTACATACCTCTCTCTTGCATAAAATCCTCCAACAGCTTCTCCGAATTCCTAGAATAAAACCTAAGTTCCTCACTTGGTCTAAAGACCTTTCTTCTCCAAGGTCACCTCATTTTACTTCCCTTCTCCTTCACTCTGCTCCTGCCATGGGGCCTTGGTACTCTGCCTGGAATATTTGCTCATTTGTGGTCTGTTTGCTTCCTCTAGAATGTAGGCTCCATGAGAGGGAAGCCTTAGTAGTCTATCTATAGGAACTAGATGAGTATCTGATACATAGTAGGTGCTTAAGAAATGAAACTGATAAATGGAATATTATGACAGTGAGCTTGAACCCTGTGAGACAGATACATAAACACACGTACACATAGTTTTAAGAAATAACTATTGTAAAAATGTTGATATTCTTTGACATTTTTCTCAATTACATAGATGCTAATGTTACCATCTAAAACTATTATAAACCAACTAAGTTAAAAACCAAACAAACAAAAACTAAAAACATAAGGCATTGCACCACCCAGGTTCAAAGCCTATGAAACTGAGAAATCAGCGGGGAAAAGACCACTAACACTGAATTTGGGACCTGGTCACTATCCTTACCCTCATGATCAGAATGTATTTGGTGTCACACTTCACTTTAAAGACTTTGATATTTCATCACTTCCTTTGATTTATTTCATAAATGATTTTCTTCTTTATATTTTACTTTCGCAAGAGTTATGCTCTTTTCTTTTTTCTCTTTTTAGTTATCCCTACTCTAGAAAATAACATCTTATTCTGACTATATTAACTCGGAGTTTCTCACCCTTAACCCATCTGTTAAGTTCAGATCTAGTTTTGATGTTCTTATTTCAGACAGTAATATTTTGGAGTTCTAAACCCTACTATCTGATTCCACGGAGGGAAATGCAGCACAAGGCTCTTTTTTGATTCATTCTGATGTTCTGATTTTAAATGCTCAATTAACCCAGAAATCACTTTTAATATGCAATGGCTAAAAGGAACAGACCTTAACACCAAGGTGTGTGCTTCAGAAATATAAATGCTACATTGCTTTTAACTCTATGATTTTTATCAATGGTCAGTTTTGGATATATAAACTTGTTAAAAGAAGGAAAAAATGAAAACTTTGATTTTTCAGGGACTTCTAAGAGTTGCTTAATTCTATTCTGTTTAGAGTGATCTGACATTAATCTTCCAATATGTCCAGTTAGTCTGCTAATGGAATGAGATTATTTTAGTAAAAGTGACAAATGTGTTATGGTTTCTTAATTAAAGTCTATACATTCTTATTGAATTACTGCGCTTTATTTAAAAAGGTTGAGTGGTACTACACAGACAATGTAGAATTCAGGAGACCAAAATCTTAGTTCTGCCACTAATGCCTTTTCTGCCCTTAGTTTAAATTACCTTTCCTTTTAAAGACCCAGATTTCTTAGCTATGAAATTAAGTTTGAAACTAAGCTATGCAATTGGTTTGGCATATGGTATTTCTCAGTGTGGTCCACAGGGCTCCTGAGATCTTTTCAAGGGGCTAGGTCCATGAAGATAAAATTGCTTTCATGATAATACAAAGATGTCATTTGCCTTTTCTACTGTGCTGACACGTGTTCCGATGATGCCAAAGCAATGATGTGCGTTAGCAGGAACCCAAGCAGTGGCACTACACTGTACTAATGGTCATTGTATTTTTCACTGCCATGCACGTGCAGTTAAAAAAAAAAAAAACCAATTCCAATTTCATGTAAGTATGCTTTTGATGAAGCAGCACAAAATTATTTTTTTAATCTTGAGTCTTTCAATATTCTGTGTAATGAACTGGGAAGTCTGCATAAAGCACTTAGAAGTTTATGATACTATGGACGTTTCTCAAAAAATGAAAAGTAAAACTACCATGTGATCAGCAATCTTACTTCTGGGTTTTATCCAAAAGAACTGAAATCAGGATCTTGAAGAGACATTGGCTACCCCCATATTCACCGTAACATTATTTACATTGGCCAAGATATGAAAACAGCCTAATGTCAACAGGTGAATGGATAAAAGAAACTGTGGTACATACATACAATGGAATATTACTTAGCCTTAAAAAGAAGGAAACTCTGGCATATGAGACAACACAGGTGAATTTAGGGGACATTATGCTAAGTGAAATAAGCCAGTCACAGAAGGAGAAAAAAAATGCAGGATCCCACTTATAAGAACTATCTAAAATAGTCAAATCCATAGAAACAGTAGAATGGTGGTTGCCAGAAGCTGAAGACAGAGGGGAGTGAGGAGATATTGGTTAACAGGATAAGTTCGTTACACAAGGTGACTAAGTTTTAGAGATGTGCTGGACAACGTTGTGCCTACAGTTAAAAGTACTGTATAATACACTTAAAAATTTGTCAAGAGGGTAGATTTCATGTCAGGTATTCATACCATGATTAAACAAAAAAAAAAAGGTCATTAACAGGAGCTGAAAAAAATCCAGCTCAATCTTTAATTCATTCTACATTTGCAGAGATGAAAAGGAAGAAAGTGAACAACTGGAATAGAATGTGACTGTACAATAGTGAAGAATACACTCTTTATGTCAGAACGTGTCACTAAAGAATAGCAATGAAGTAACATATGCCATCACAGTAAGTTGTTAATTTTAAGTGATAAAAAATGTACTACCTACAAATGTAAAATTTTCTTGATTCACTTTTTTAGTACTGAGAATCTTCTCTCTATGTAAAACGGTAAAAAATCTTACAAATGGAAGATATATAATTTTAGAAAGTATTAAAAATTTATTATGAAGTCTCATAAAAATATCAACAGGGAGGTATACACATATTTAGGAAGAGATTTTAGTAGAACAAAAAGAAAAATACATTAAGATTATAAAATGAAATGGCATGAAGAGTAAAACCACTTAATATTTTGTCTAAATATGATAAAATCTTACTTTCGAGTTCAAACTGGCACTTAAATAACTATGTCCCTACGACTGTGATGATGACTATGACTCTACCTATCTATCTATCTAGTACTGTTTTTTAAAAAATAGCTAACAAATTCACAAGATTCAAAAAAAATCAAAAAGTGTGAAATACCTCCAAATGTATCACCTGCCTTGTTCTCTTCTCCAACAAGCAACTGCTTTATTTAATGCATATAGCATTATTTAAATAATTTAATTATACTAATTTAATATTTAATAATTAATATGCTATTTAAAATTTAACATATTTAATAACATTATTTACTTTATTAACATTTAACATTAAGTAATCTTAACTGAATATAATACTATCAATGGCTTAATATATTTAATAATATTAATATTTAATTCATTAAATAAGTTTGGAACTCTTTCCGCATATGTAGAGCTTTTTCTCGTTCTGTTTTACAGCTTTCGAGGCCCCCACTGCGTGCTTGTCTCCAAATTCATAGAACTAGTCCCCTACTGAAGGACATTTAAGCTATTACACTATGCTTGGAGCAATAACTTGGTAAAAATGTCATTTTATGTGTATGTAGGGATACTGTAAGTCTTCAGAAAGAGAAGAGCTTTAGAAAGAGAAGAGTTAAATCTAAGAACATAAGTGTTTTGTATTTGTCATAGGTATTTCCAAATCAACAACCCACAGAGGTCATATGATGTAGGAGAGTGTCTCCTCACATCTCTGACAAATCCTTTTGGATTTCTGCTAATCTTTTAAGTGAACAATAGTATCGCTGTGTGATCTGAATTCACATTTCTCTCTTTATAAGTGAGGTTGAACATATTTTCTTATTTTTGATGTTATTACATGATACTCTGACATTTATTTCAACATCCTTTAATTAATCATTTAACTCCATACAGAAATGCAAAGCCTCACGGTTTCCAATCTGTGCTTAATTTTTTATTTCATTAGCTTTAATTTTAGTTTTCTATTGTTTTAAAGTACCAAATCTTGGAAATATTCTCTTCTTTTTAAATTAATTGACTTTTTCCTTTACTACGTCCTCCTTTCTTTTGATGTCTTTCCGGACTTTCTATTATATGCTACTAAAATTATTCCTGCACTTGTCCTCTACTTTCTTACTGTCATTTTTTAAAAAGGACTTTTTGCGATAAATGTTTAGTGCCTTGATTTCCTTCCTCCCTCCCTCCCTTGCTTTTTTCTTTCCACATTATAAAGGCACTTAAGTTTTTATATTTCTTTTGAGTATGATGTTGGTCACATCTCATGAGTTTTGCTATATAGTGTTACCATAATTATTTTAAAAGAGGCCTATAATTGTAGTTTTGATGTCATCTTTGATCCAAGTGTTATTTAGGAACATGTTGGCTTTTAAATGTGGCTGGCTATAAAAATTTTTATTCTTGTTATTAAAGTCTATTTTTATTGCATTGAGATCTGTGACTATAGCCTCTCTCTACATATTTTTGCAATTTTAGAACTAAGTTTTTTCTTAGTCTTTCAAAAACCAAATAGGAATAATTTTTATGCTATCTTCATCTCTTTCTCCTTGGGTACCACCAAAGGCTAATGTACCAGAAGTCCTGATTACATATCGAAATAAAGAACTGAAGGAAAAACGTCCTAAAATTTCCATTAAAAAAAAGGAAGATGTTACCTGAAACATATCCGTATCTTTATCATGTGTGTACTCGACCACCACAGTCTGATTCCTTGACAGAGTGTACGATATACTGTGTTGACCTTTGCAGCTGATAGCCTAATAATGAAATTAAAAAATATTCATTACAATTTAATTTCAACAACTTAACCATACTCCTGTTTGTAGTTAAGAGACACCGTCCTACCAGCAAAACTCAACACAAGCCAGCATTTCCCTACCAGTCAGAGCCTGTGCTGAGCAGCCAATAGTCACCATTCTGGTTTTACCAAATATTCTATGTTAATATGAATAATATTGTACTTACATCAAATCAAAATTAATTTACTAGTTTACAAAACTTAATTTAAATTATATTCCCAGAAAAACGTACACTTTCTCTATGTTTCTTTAACTCAATGATAGGATTTTTAGACTAATATAATTTATTTAAAATTTTAAACTTTATTTCACATTATAGCAACTAAGTCAATAATATTTTGTTATAGTTATTTTTCCTACATAATAAATTATAATCATAGTAATTATAATCACAGTAAAAGAATCATTGAAGTTATAAATGTTCTATAAGAATTTCTATATAATTCACTTTTCTAGACAATGATAATTATATTTATACTCTGTTCTACATCTTACTTAAATCTTATATAAGCAGTTGCTTAACCAAGATACTTATTGAATTAATAATAAGTAAGGTAGCTAAGTTAGTTTTATCTTTTATATTTTTAGCTAAAGTTAATAGTCTTTTACAAAAGAATCTAGAAACCAATAATACAATGTTATTCTTATTTTCTCCATAATGATATATTTGAACATATCTTAAGTTGTGGTCACATACTTTTAAATTTCAAATTAACAAAGGCGTTTATTTAAATTGTACTCCAAATTATTTCAATTACATTTTATCCATTCTACTTTAACTTATCTTCATTTCTATTGTTTTACATTAAGCATAATAAAACTTTAATAAGCCTATCTATTAAACATTTACTGAATGATGATACTGTACGAAGAGTAAGAAAGCATTTGGAAGTAACTGGACATATATAGCATGTTAATGAAAATGTCTGAACATTTATATTTGACCAATATAATTGCTTAGAGTAATAAATAGTACAAGATTCCAAATCATGTTTGAAGTTAGCCTTGTTCATCTCATGGTTATTTAATCATTTGCCCTGAGAAACTGAATGATTGAACTGATGTTCTGTTGTATGTGCTTCATTAAGATAATACAAGTATTAGAAAAAATAATTTACATATTCGATATGGTCGGGAATCTAAAAAATAGTTCTTAGACTACTTAATTCCAGTAACAAATATAATCTTAAATTTTCATTGGTCTGAATCAGATAAATTCAACGGTATTGATAAAAGTGACATTTTTTGAAAGTGAAATTAATAAAGAACTATTTCCAATTTAAGATAAGTGGATGTTTATCTTTACAGTTAAGTAAAAAAAAAAATGCTTTAAGAAAAATGATCTTATTACACTCAAACTTATAAAACTAATAACCAGAGAGTAATACTATAGTAACTTATTTCAGGGTTCATTAAAAAGTGTCTATTGCATTTACAAGTACCCAATTTACAAATACATTGACTCAAACACAACTTTCTAGGCACACATGACATCAAATGTCAGAATAAGGAGCTAACAAATGCCATAACAGAATACCTTTTAAAAAGTTATACATTTTTATGGTGGTACCTCCTGAAGTACAGTGTTTCTCAAACTTCCACCAAAGTTGCTTTTACTGGAAGAGAGTTACCTGAAGCCCTAGAGATGCCTGGGAGAACAGCCCTGAAGTAAAGTTTCTCAAGCTTAAAACATCATAATTTAAAATTATTATGAATTTTCTATTCTGCTCTATATGCCTACAGTTTTAACATTTAAACACTTCTACCAAATTTACTGGGACATTGGTGCCCCAGAAAGACTCACTATGCTCACCCCATGACCTAGCACAGCCCTCAGCACACTTCCCACACGAAACCCTTCCACTCTGGGGAGCACCAGAAATTGCCGTTTCACAGGCCCTAAGTTGTCACTGGACCCAATTCTTCTAAGGCGTTTTATTCTAAAACCATTTTTGTAACCAAAACTATTATAAGCCTGCCTATGTAACACATAAAAAAGGCTATTTATAGGAAAAGTGATACCATACCTGGGAACTGCCCATAGCAAAGAGTACAAAGACCTAGGATGGCCTCTGCCTGGCCGCCCCCAAACAGGGTAGAAAGCATGTAATGATCCAGTTAGTTGAGTCCACTAAAGAAAATTTTGAGTCCACTAAAGAAAATTTACAATTTCAAACTGTGTGTGTGTGTGTGTGTGTGTGTATAATATGGCTAAATGTGAATCTCCAGAGTTAGGAAATGGTGAATGCTTTGGAGCTAGAAAAATACTTGCTGAGACTTTTTGGTTAAGAAAGTCCCAGCTGAGGGTTACATTCTGGAAGCCCCCGGATTTGGGGAAGATAAGGAAGTAGGAACAGATTCTGCAGGGAGAGAAACAAGTCCCAGAAGGAGGTGAGTGGCTCTGAGACAGTAGGCAGTGCACTCACTCCCCTACAGCAGGGATCCTGATGAATGAGGTGTGATATCCACCTTTAAGTCCTGGCAGTGATCTCCCTGTTCATGCTGAGCCAGGAGAGGAAGCGGGCTTGTGAAGGGCCCTAAGGGCTGGCGCCTAGGGCCCAAACAGGCTGCACCCACAGGGTGAAGAAGCATGGTGATCAGTGGGCCCTGGAAGACTGGGATTGAAGCCAGGACTGAGATTTGGAGGAAAAAGTGGCAGTCAAAACCAGAACACCTAAGGCCACCACTGAGATCCTCAGAAATAAATGGAAAGGTGCTGACTTTCCTTGATGACACGAATTAGGACTCACAGAATCTTGTTTGCATATTTAAATCTAGAGTGAGACCAGACTTGGGTGGTTGGGGGAAGTTAAGAGGAGAGTTTAAGGCTGACATCAGTTGTTGCTTTTTTTCTGGAAGTATATAAGGCATTAAGCTTTTTATTTTGGTTAGATGTATCCATTTTTCAGCAATAATCTTTATCATTTAAAATGACTTTCAGAAATACAGCTTCTAGTAAATTACAGATTCACTGACTTGAGTCAATCATTTTAAGTATTACGGAAATAAAATTTTCCCTAAGGCACTAAGTTGCTTTGAAATCTATTTCTGAAATATCAGAAAAAAAAGAGTAGGCAAAGCTTTCTCTTGGCACTCGCTATAATTTAGTTCAAACACAATTACTGTAACATAATGTGATTTTACTACACCAACTCAAATTTGGAAATGAAACTTTAAAATTCTAAGGAAAACCAGCTCAACTAGCTTGCCTGGTAGACCACACAGATTTCTCATATTCACTTTTCTATTCTGAGGAGAAGGAGGCAAGGTTGCCACCTCCCTTTCCTAACACTGTGAGTGCCTCAAAGGCAGACCTGGCCTTACCCTTTCTTCCACGCCTGGTACTGAGGGCACGTGGGCATTCAGTGAACGTCAGATGACCGAATGGACTGCTACGGATGCAAGATGAGATTTAGACCTTCTTTCCTCAGGTCTTCCCTTCCTCAAGCTTACTTTTCACCAGCACAGGTACCAATAGTGACACTCTCAGCTCCAATTTATCACGTGTGAATTTTATCGCGTTAAACTATCACAATTGGACAATTACAGATCAGACAATTATAATTACACATCCACAGAACAAAGGATTCCAACTTTATCCAGTTTAGGAATTTAAAGCACTACTCTGCAATCCCAAATGTCCAAACCAGGCTCTTTCGGAGCCAAGATACTTTCTATATTTTCTGAGATTTATCCTACTTGTGTCACAGGCTCGGGCTCAGCTCAGCCATCCTCTGCCATTCAGGGGAATAGCTAGAATTGGTTGTCCTGGTTCAACTCTAAATATCAGAGAGTTTCCTAAGCCTCCAGACTTTAAAACAAACATGATTCATAATGTCTACAGAAATTCTTCCATCTTATAAACCCACGTGTACACACATAAAGGCCCTTATAAAGATGTATAATGTGTAACGATACCAGGAAGGCAATTCTGCAAGATGCATAACGGGATGGATACATGTCTTCATGGCAGCCAAAGGAGCTTTCATTCATATTTTAAAAATATAAGGGAAATTAGCAAATCTTTTATTTGTAAAGAAGCAGTGGGCTTAGCTCTCAGTCACAAAGTAAAAGAAGAAAAGCCCACTGAGAAACTGTTTCTAGAAAATACTAATTTATCACAGCTATGATTTAGCCATTTAATTCAAGCTCTATAAGGCTGCTAAGTGAACCTTCAGCCACTGAAAAAAAAAAGGGAATTCATCGCTGTGGCGGACATTGTTGGTTACCTACCTGATGCCTTTCTCTCTGCTAGGAGAGCTGGCTTCCCATGAAAAAGCCTGAAAATGCCAAAAATGCCTCTCCTAGTCTCCTCTGAAGCTAGCACATGGAAATGCAACCCCGTCCTCACCACTGTGGAGCTCCTGGGGATGGGAGACGTTAAGAGAGATTCTTTCCTTTCTCTGTTAATAAAAAATTAATGTGATGTTTGGAGCTGAGGTAGCCATCTTGTAACATGAGAGGAAGGTCACAGACTCTCAGAGAAGCAGACTGTGCCCTGACGTCTGTGAGCTGAATCAAATCTTAAACTGTCTGCCCCAGATTTATCTGAGAAAAATGAGGGTTTTAGGTTGCCTTTCGTTGGGTATTCTATTACTTGCAGTCTAAAGCATTATTAAATTGTTTGGACCCAACTTTTTTCTCTCTTCCTGGGTTTCCTATTTCAGTCAACAGCACAACCATATTTCCCATCACTCCGACTTAAAAGCTTCATGTCATCTCAGAGACCTCTCTTGTCATTGCTGTCCATATACAATTAGCATTATTACCATCATACTTAACCTACTGGTGAGTGAAAGCCAGGCTCACTGATTTTACTGCATTAAGGCAAAAATCAAATACAAAGTAGAACAAACCATGTGTAACATTTCACTTTTTCTCCTCATATATAAAGTAGTTGTTGGGCAACCAGTAATTGCAAAACTGATTTATCCCCCAAAGGAGTTTTACAATCAGCT